AAATCCCCCCAGGGCTGGGGACTCGACCCCTTCCCTGGGCAGCCCCTTCCAGCCCCTGACAGCCCCAAGGGGAAGGAATTGTTCCCCATGCCCAACCTCACCCTGCCCTGGCACAACTTGAGGCCATTGCCCCTCGTCCCATCGCCCCTTCCCTGGGAGCAGAGCCCGACCCCCCCGGCTCCCCCCTCCTCTCAGGCAGTTGTAGGCAGCGATGAGGGCTCCCCTCAGCCTCCTCTGCTCCAGGCTGAAGACCCCTATCAGCCTTGGGCTCCAGACCTCTGCCCAGCAATGACCTTACATGCGATGGGTCGAAGGTGACCTAATTCACTTTTCAACTGTGTCTCCTTTTCACTTAAAAAATTTCAATTGGAATCGAAAATGAAACCACTTGACTTTATTTTTCAGGCTCTTTATGGAAATCCTTAATGAATGTTCAGATGTGGATGAGATCAAATTCCAAGAAGATGGCTCCTGGTGCCCCATGAGGCCAAAGAAAGAAGCTGTGAAAGTCTCAAGTCCACAGTGCACCAAAATAGAAAGTATGTATGTCTGCGTACTGGCTGCAAACCAAAAAAAGTCTTGGAGACTTAGTTGTGGCTTGGATAATGTGTAGGCATGTTGATGTTTGTTTTGTGGAGGGCTTGATACTTTTCACCCTCTTGTCATTTAAACTAAAAAGAAAGGGTTGTATCTGTAAAAGTGTGCATTTCTGGGCTTTGTCTTTGCTTTTTCTTGTAGCATTTAAGAAAACGAAAGGTTGCTCTTGTTTTAGGTTCTTAAACTGATAAATGAAGATTAAAGCTTGTGCTTTAATCTTCTCAACATATGACACAGAATACTGATAAAACAGTTCCTGGGCCATACTGTTCTCTTTAGTGGCCAGGAAGATGAGCTAAACCAGGATCTGAGTTCCTGGTTCTGTTGCAAATAGGAACTGCTGATGTCGCCAGCCTTTAAACAATGGTGGTATTTTATGTTCTTGTTTAGGTTCCAGTGTTGTTAGCAAACCATGTTCCGTGACGGTGGCCAGTGAGGTAAACAAGAAGAAAGTTGACGTTATTGACTTGACAATAGAAAGCTCTTCTGATGAAGAAGAGGAGCCGCCTGCCAAAAGGAAGTGCATATTTATGTCTGAAACACAAGGAAGCCCAACCAAAGGGTTTGTCAATTTTAAAGTTAGTTGTTATTCTGTAATGTCTCAGATAAACTGACGTGTAGACCAATGGACTTGTAATCTCTCTTCGGGATCCAGCTCCACGCTTCCAGAGGAGAATTTCCTAGGCCTCTCCTTGCAGAAGGTTGTACTGATACCTTTGTACAGGCAAAACACTATTAAATAGTTTTACATCTCACAAAAGACTTGCGCTGACTGTTGCTGTGTCTGCAGGGATATTTCTCCATAGAAAAGGTTAAGCTAACGGACAGGACCCTCCTGAGAAAGCAGATTATGCCAAGTGGAGGAGCTTTATGCGTCCTTGCTAAGTTAGTGTCATCTTGAGGGCTTTTCTCTCGCTGTCTGTTACACCCTTTATCTGCTCTGGTGCCCAGGAAACTAGGCTGCGTTGCGTGTTTCATCCATCCCATCAGTCGTGGCAGGGAGGCGCTTTGTTCTGAGTCAAGACAAGCTTTTCCTCCATCTCTCTGTTAAACACCGGAATGTCTTGGGCGCTGTTGTTGGCCATGGCTGTCGGTCAGTCCTGCACCTCGGTTAGCACAACCAACGACTTCCCCAGTCCTCTGTCAACTGCTCCATCTTTGTAGTCGTGCCTGACTTCAGCGGCAGGCTTTACCAGCTTCTTCACTGTTGTGCCGCCTTCTGTCTGTCCCAGCCTGTGCAACTCTGCTGCAGTTACTGTTCGTGGCTTCCATGAAGTTCTTGCTCTTGGCCCGTAGGGCACAGGGAGAGGGGCCCTGGTTTAGGCTCACCAGCAGTCACTGCTCCACCAGGCGATTCCGAGTGTCAGCTTTTAGTAATGGCTTATTAGTTAGCATTGCTGCATGCATGAGGTGTGCGTCTGTGTCTCTCAGCGTAGTGGCTTATGTCTTGTACCGAAATCGTAAGTAATAAAGCCAACCCCCTTCTGTTTTGCCAGCTCTTGAAGTAACGAGCAGGTGTACTGTGTCTGTAGTCCGCAGGAACGCGTGGTCTTTGGTGAGCGAATAGTTGGTCGTCTTCAACCACTTTGAGCAGCGATACTGAAATGCTGTCGCTTTCTCTGGGGACTGTGGAGGAGTCCTTCTGCGAGAGGCTCTGTTTCTTATTTTTGTGAGGAAAAAAAATAGCTACAAATACATCTCTTAATGAAGTTTCAGAAGGCACCAAGACTTCCTTCCGTGCTCCTGTGTTTGTCTGAGATGGCGAACTGCAACCATAATTGTAGAAGGACTGAGTTTTCTTGTCTCTCCTTGACCAATGTGTTTTCCTTTCTGTTTGGGTATGGAAATGGCATGTTTTCATTCTTCAAGTCAAAGCCAGGCTTTTGGGGAATAGCTCATCTCCTGTAAAAAAAAAAAAAAAAAAAAAAAAAAAGTTGCCCGAATGCTAGTTTTGGCAAAACTGTGGGGTGTCTTCCAATAGGCAGAAGCAACATAGGCTGAAGTATAAGAGGTGCTTGAGAAGGGAGGGGCTGAAATCCACGCGTCTGAAATGAATAGTAGTATAAATGCACCAGTGCAGCAGTCTGGGGAGGAAGACCTGAGTGGATAACGCTCACGGCTGGTGGGAGCGATGCGGAGCAGCTGGGAGCGGGGCTCTGGGGTGTTTCCACCTGATTTGGAGTTCATGAAATATTTTATGCCTGTGGTTGGTGCCCGAACGCCTGTGGTGCCGGCTTTTAACAGTGCCGTGAAGTGATGGGGCAGAAGGTGGGGATGCAGAAGGGTTTTAACTGGTGGCATGCTCCTGGAGAGCTGACCTTAGCTTGGGCTCGGCCTTGGGCTCGATATTTAACTCCCATGCGTGTAACCTGTGCTCCAGGGGCCAAATGGTGGTCAGTCGCGCCCTTGGCGTGTCAGGTTAGCGCCGAGGAACAGTATTTATGTGGAGACGCTGAACCCGTGCTCTCCTCCTGGCTCTGGCTACCGACACATCCCTCCCCGGGCGCTCCCCAGATACAGGTGTCCAGTTCTGTCTCCAAAGGGTAGCAGCGTACTTTGTTTTAATGTCGACTTGCTCTTATGTCACAGCTGCTGTTGAGAGCCAAGATACGGTCATGTTATTATGAAGACTGTTATGAAAGAGGAAATTAGAGTGGAATACTGTGTAGTGAGTAGCCACGCTGTAGTTGTGTTGTAACATGGTGACCTTGTGAATGAGAGTGCACAGCGGCGCGTAATTGCTCTTCCCTAACTAACGGCCGGGCTGTTTGTAATTTCCCATGCTGTTTAAAACAGGGTTCTCATGTATCAGCCATCTACTGTCAGAGTGCCCAGTGTGACAACGGTCGATGCTGCTGCTATTCCTCCTTCATTAACAGACTACCCAGTACCATTCCATCACCCACCAATATCCAGTATGTCATCAGACTTGCCAGGTAGGTGGTGGCTATTTTTAATGGGTCTTCTGACAGCCTTTTTAATTTTGCGGGGTGGGTAAAAATTGCAGAATTGATCAACTTTTTTTTTTTTTTTTTTTTTTAATGGAACGAGACTATATGCAGTATTGCACTGATGCGATGTCTAGACCAGTCCAGTCCAGGCTGTCTTTCCAATTTCAGACTGCACTTTGCAACAGCGATGTGAAAAAACCAACCAACCAAAATAAAAAAAAAACCAAAACAAACCCAAAAAAACCCCCAAACAGTTGCTTCTGGGGTACCAATTGGCACTTTGGAATGGCAGCCAGAAACGCTTCTCGCTATATTCAGTTAGACTTTGTGTAAACGTCTGGTTGTTAGGTGTTGTGGATGCGAGGGAGAGTAGCTGCTTGTTGAAGTGATAGGCGTGTGGTGGCACTGACTCGTCCCAGCCCTAGGTGGTAGAGATGCTCTGCTAGCTGATTCGAGTGGTGCTCTGTCTAGACTGTATGAAAAAGGTTAAGGTGAGCTACGATATGTAAGCTGACCTCTATTGACTTTCTTTACCTAGACATTCCCTAAATGCCTATGATGTATTCTTCAACACTGCTGCTAAATATCAGACAAAAGGTGGGGATACTGATTGTTTTCTACCCTGGCTCCTTGAAAAGAACACTGTATATAGGGACTCTGGGGGTTTCTCTTTGCCGGCTGTAACGAACCCAGAGCCCGGGAAATGGTGACTTGTGGTCACAGGTGTCACACTGGCCTCCTGTACTTCCCTCTCCCCCCTCCATTGCCTGTCTCCATTTCTCCCCTGCAACGTCTCTGGGTTTTTTCCTCTTCTTTCAGCACCAGTTTGGCAATGGGATGGATATCATTCCCCTTGTTTCTCTCTCCATTTTGGTTCCCTTACTGCTCCCTCCCTCCACTTCTCCCTTGTTAAGAAAGCGGTTGCCTTCCCAAATTGGATAGGAGCGTGAGCTGAGAGAATGGAAGTCTAGAACTGCTGTCCTCCTCTATCGACTGAAGTTCTAGAGAACATGCAAGAACAAAAGGAGCTGTCAGTGCTGTAAAAGCAGCTGAGCTTAAATCTCCTTCACAATTTTTCTCTTTAACGGAGAAGAGGAGGAGAGATGTCACTGGCCAGAACAGATCTGGAGGCGAGGGAAGAGGGAGGGAGTAAGTTTACCATTTCTTTCTGTTGACATAGCAAACACAAGGCCAATATTTAGAGAAAAAAAAAAAAAAAAAAAACAAACCAAAAAGGCTGTAATTTCTCATTGGTTTCCTAATTTTAAACATCTTGCCCTAAATGCTTACACGCTAATGGTGTATAAGACGGACGCTAGTTGTCGCTGCTCTTAGAGGATATACGTTGAACTACTTGTAGTTTCCTCTTCTTCGTTCCTTTTATTTGTCTAGACACAAAACGGGGATGATATTAGAAATGTTTCCTTATTGGCTGCCCGTGGGTGGAGGAAGAGACCTGCTGCTTGTTTTTGGACTTGTGCATGTTGTGACTTTACTTCATTCCAGCATCTTTAATGTGATGACACTCTTCATGTCCCAGTGTGGCCGAGTCAGGTACAATATGCAGTGAAACTTGCATTATGAACCAACAGCTCCAAATGGCAACCTCCATCTAAGCAACCACATTGAACCACCCTGCGATTGCCAGTGAATAATACATCATTATGTCATTCTCATCCTTAAAAAGAGCCACTTGTACGAGATAACTCGTTTTGCTGCTGCCTGAAGTAGTCGTTGAGAGTGGTGTCACAGTGGTATATTCCATTTAGAAACTGTGTAACGATTGCAAAATCTGTTCTATGACCACAAAAAAGTTCCTTAAATTTGTCGTGTATGAATAAAAAAAAAAAAAAAAACCCAACCAAAAAAAAAAAAACCAGTCATCAATTTATTATCCTTCTCTTCTTTCTAGGTCTGGATTTTCTTTCACTAATCCCAGTTGATTCACAGGTATGTTTCTGAACTGCTACGGGGTTAATTTCCAAGTCTGGTTTTTGTGACGCGCTGCTCTAGTTAACTATCGGGATGCTGTTGTCATCCGTACCACGTCGGCAGTCCGCTTGCTTAGGCCTAACCACAGACCAGGAAAATCCATTTTCCCAACGAGAGGTGGTGATGAAGATGCACTAAGGGAGGATTCAGTTCAGCCTGACTGTGATAAATCCAGGCATGGAAACGCGCTCTTTATCGATAAGTTTGCTGTCCTAAAGCGGATACTTGCACGGCACAAACTTGAATATGCCCACCGTGTCTGTAGGCCAGGTTAAGCTCTGCTGATATTGCAGGTTCTGTGGGTTTTGATATTGGTAGGAGATTAAGTTTTAAAGCAAATACCCTCATTAACGTGATGGGCGTGTGACTGAACGCTTTCGTAATAAATCCCTCCATGTCACAGTTCAACCCCATCGGCTTTGGATTGTACGGGAATTTTGTAGGGCGGAAGTAGCTGGGCAGTGTTTTTCCTTCCCTGGAAACTTAAACTTTACAGAGTTAGGGAGAGCGATTCTTCCTGTCACCAGATTCTTACACAGCCAGCCTACAGCCCTGAAGTGCCAGGGCATGTTGGCTCCCTAAGACGAGAGGATCTGAAGCAGACCCTCTGTTCCATCTCTCTGTCGCTAGAAGACAACACGAACAGGACTCTGCTGCAGAGTTGACTTTCTGGTGCCTTAAAAACAAAGGATGAACTTCCTCCTTTTCTTTCCGCTTACTGCATCTTGCAATACTCTGTGCCTGCCCTTGAGATCTGAACTGCCAAAAGTGGGAGTAGCGGAAGTTTGTTCATGTGGGAGACTGGAAGCAGGTGTGCTGCTGTGAAGTGTCCACTTTGGACAGTTCAAACAGTTCAGGCTCAGTTCCAAACGTGTGCCCGAGATCGGAATCCACGGGGTAAGAGAAAGTGAGATGTGTTGAACAACGCCTGCGTGCGCGCCTGCGGGGGGGGTGTCTTACAGCAGCGTCCTCTCCTGACACCTGGCAACCCCGTGCCGAGTGCTTAAAGTGTTAAGCTCTGCTTTGAGAAAGCTTGCCTTCCACTTCAGGAAATTGAAATCAACTCAGTAATTTTTCTTAATCAGGCTTGATCGGGGCTCGTTTGTCACGGCTGATGTGTTTAGAGACCCGCATGTATCACTGCAGGCATATACTGTGGAAATGCTGTTGGGTACGGCTGCTGCCACCTGAGGGGATGAAATTATTCTCACCTCCATCGAAGCAGCATAAAGCATTCTGCTGCCTTTCATGAGGAAAGGAGCCCGAAATACGCAGTTGTGCCCTGTAGCTGTGGGCAGCCAACGTTCTCCAAACGCTAAGGGCAGGTTTTGTCATCATCAGTGTTCCTTAATGTGCTAGAAAACGCTCAAGCTAACCAGTTAGTAAGAAAAAATAAAATAAAATGGGGAGGATGAGGGAGAAGGGCTCGTGGCTGCCATCTCTGCTTGCTTACTTGCTGGTTTGCAGAACTCCGGTTGTTGCTGTGCATGTTAACGAGGTTCCGCTGGTAACGTGTTTTGTGCTTGTTGTAGGGAAGATGTATCTTCAGAGCATACATTTCCCTCGTGCAGTTAGTCTCTTCATTCTTCATTGTTTGTTTCAAGCAGTACTGTCCTCCTATGTTTTTGGATAGTCTCACCTCAACCTTAACAAGCAGCACGCCTGGCAGCATCATCACCTCCACCAGTCACCACGAGAGCAGCACGCACGTTAGCTCCTCCAGCAGGAGCGAGACGGGAGTCATCACCAGCAGCGGCGGCGGCGGCGGCAGCGCTCCCGACATCATCTCGCTGGACTGAAACACGGGGCGGCACGGGACTCCAGGGGAGAGCGCACGGAGCTGCTGCTTCTGTCTCCGGAACTTGAGCATCTCAGAGGTCATTCTGATATTTATTGAAAGGATTCGCCTTCTGGAAAATGGAGTCAGTTCATCTACGCTAGGAACAGAAGTGATAGATAAAATTTTTTTTTTTTTTTTTTGGCTGTGGTTGTTGTTGTTTCCTTACTCGTTAAATAGCTGGTATAGAAAAGGCCCCTTCAGAACATGCTGTTACGCTTTCGGCTTGTTCTGGGGAAACTGACTTTTTGTTGCTGGGTGGATTCCACAAACGGTTTTTAATTTTAATGCATTAACCACTCTAGAACACCACCAACCTGGACAAAGGTGCAGAAGTGTATGCATTGGTGAATTTTTAATATTTTCACTGGGGCCTGTAATAAACGTCATTTCAGACAATGGAGCTTTGTGAAATAGCCACGGCTCGTGTTGTACATCTCTTGTTCCCCACCTCCCCCTTACCTGGGGATGTAGGGCAAGCCTCTGGAAATTGGGATTTTTTTGTTGTTGTTGTTTTTTCCCCCCCCCCCCCCTCCTGATTTCATGTTTTTCACAAACGCAACAAAATCCGAAGCTGTGACTTCTTCCTCTGGGTGTCCGTTGGGCTGGGGAGGGGATGAACTATCTATGCAAACCCTGCACCACGCAATGTCAGAATGGGGACGCCTCCCCCCTGCCAAAATCCCCAAACTATGCACAGTCAAGCTGTACCTGAATGTCTGGTTTCATAACTTCAAGAGGTGATCAAGACCAGGTTGGCCGGGGCTGTGAGCAACCTGATGTGGTTCAAGGTGTCCCTGCTCCTGCAGGGGGGTTGGGCTGGGTGACCTCTAGGGGTCCCTTCCCACCCAAAACATTCCATGATTGGGGGAAAAAAAGCCTTTAAACTGGAAATTTAGACTATTCATAGACTATTCATTTAGACTTCAGCCCTTGGTGGCCCTCTTTGAAACCGCTGCCCCTCACCTGATGATGGAGCGAAGCGCACGCCTTCTGCGGCAGCTGTAAGGAGACAAAACAGGAATTGCTCTCCTTGGTGCAGGATTATTTTCTAGGATCTCTTGTTCCTGGCTTCTGTCACTTCGGTCACTGCTGTATTCCGCTTGGGAATAACGCGTTTTGACTGGCCAGGGGGGAGGCTTGGCTTTTTGGAAGATAAAAGCTGTAGTTGCGTGATGTTCCCACCTAACTGGAATGATGTGTCGAGGGCTCAGCAATGCTTTGTCCCGTGTTACGTGGCCTCCTAATCACAGCTTTTCTAATTCCATGGGAGTAACTTCCTCCGGATTTGCTCCCCTGGCGGCTCTGCCGCGTGCCTGCAGTGTCTCCCCACACACCTCTAAGGACAGCCTCAGGGGTGCTGCGTGTGGAAGAGGTTACAGACCAGGAAAATAAAGTCATTTCCAGAGAGCTGGAATACCGGTATAATCTATGTACGTTGACATAGCAGCTTTTCCAAGCGGTGTGTTTCTGTTGAGGAACTGTATTTGAGGTTATCCCTTCCCTAATTACCAGCTTTCCTCATTTTGTGTTCCCTTTTTCTCGTTTCTTTAGTCGATGTCTGGTGCTTTTTGCCTTCCGTCACTGTTACAGTATTTGAACGAAGTACGTGGATAAGAAATATTGAAGCAGGATGTGTTGTAACTCTTGTCTGCCCTGTACTCCCGCCTCTAATGCTGCGTTACCGTTCCTCGTTGCCTTTTTTGTCTGACCCTACACAGCAGTCTTCAATTCACATGTTGGGTCTTACCGTCGCCTCCACTCTTTCTTCTCCGTTCCTTATCTGTTGAATTTTTTTTGTACCTGTTAAGGATCAGTTTTTAAGCGCGATTTATTTCCAATAAAGCCAATGCTGCTCATGAAGTTTTTTTTCCCCTTTTGGCCTGCAGCGGATCAGTGCTTTCTGCATCGCAACCGGTGACTTGAACTATAAACAGAGCGCGGGGGGGGGGGGGTTCCGGAGTCATTCTGAATAAAGTGTTTAAAACCTGGTACCTGTCGCGGAAGATGCTGTTTGTACTCTTAATGCCAAACCGCAGCGGGACTCGGGCAGCGGCTGAAGGGCCGTAAACATCTCGCGTGTACGCCAGAAAGGTTACGTTACGGGTCAGCGCCATTTTTAGGACGTGTGCTCTAAACCGGTCATGGTAGTATTCAAGGTACGGCTGGAATTTTGTTAATTACTGTGCCCTGTTGGTAGGTAGTTACCAGGGCTGAGGTAGGGTTCTGTTCTCCAGCTGTTTTGGGCAGGAGTTTTGCGGCTG